TCCATCATCGCTATTTTCTTCACTTCCTCATAAAAATACCTATTGCCTATCCATCTTTCTCATTCCTATTTTCTTATTTTCATACAGACACTAATCACGCTCAATCTCGTAGGCAATCCAATCGGTGATAAAGGAGTTCAAATTCTGGCTGATGGTTTAAGAAATAACATGGTAAAATTATTACTCTGTTCAATTCTTGAATTTCCATCAACATTTCTTCACACAGACACTCACCACTCTGGATCTTCGCGGCACTAATATCAGCGCCGAAGCACTTCGACATCTGGCTGATGTTTTACGAACGAACACAGTGAATTTTTTCCCATTTTATTTTTCTAATTTTTATATTCAGTTTTCACGCAGACACTGATCACGCTCACGCTGGCGTGCAATTTTATTAGTGATGAAGGAGTACAACTTTTAGCTGATGGTTTAAAAAATAACATGGTAAAATTTTTCCTCTTTTTAGCTCTCTCATTTCCATCCACATTTCTTCACACAGACACTTGTCACTCTTGATCTTAGCAGTACATATATTCGAGACGAAGCAGTTCGACACCTGGCTGATGCTTTACGAACAAACACAGTGAACTTTTTCTTACTTCATTTCTTTCATTTTTATAGTTAGTTTTTACATAGACACTTGCTAAACTCAAACTTTCCAAAAATAATATTGGAGTCAAAGGAGCTCAACATCTTGCTGATGTTTTACGAACGAACACAGTTAAACTCATTTTCTTTCGAGCTCTGTCATTTCGATCCTTGGTCTTTTATAGACACTCACCGAACTGAAAATCAGAAAGAATAAAATCAAAGAAGAAGGAACTCAATATTTGGCTGATGCTTTACGAAATAACAAGGTGAACTTCTTTCTTTATTCACTTCTCTGATTTCCCATCTTGACTTTTTCCAATAGGGACTCACAGCACTCTTCATTAGATCCAATGAAATCGGAGAGAAAGGAGCTAAACATTTAGCTGATGCTTTGCAAAATAACAAAGTGAGCTTCTTACTATCCTTATTTTTGTTATTTTTATCCTCATTTTTTTCACATAGACACTCACCACACTCGAACTTGATTACAATGAAATTGGAGATAAAGGAGTTCAATACTTGGCTGATGCTTTAAAAATCAATAAGGTGTACACCTTACTTTCTTCATTTCTCTTTTTTTATCCTTACTTTTTCCACATAGACACTCACCATACTCCAAATTCCTAGCAATGAAATCGGAGACAAAGGAGTCGAATATCTGGCTGATGCTTTACAAAATAACATGGTGCGCTTCTTGTCCTATTCATCTCTTTTATGTTTATCTACACTTCTTTATACAGACATTAGCCGTACTCGACCTCAATTTTAACAAAATTGGAGATGTAGGGGTTCAATACCTAGCTGATGCTGTAAATAATAACATGGTGAACTTTCATCCTCTATTCATTACTCTCATGTGCATGTTCTCTTATTCAACCAGGCACTCACTACACTCACTTGTATAAGCAATGAATTTGGAGAAGAAGGTGCCCGACAGTTGGCTCATGCTCTACGAAATAACAAGGTGATCTTCGTTTTACCCTTTATCTTTTTTATTTCTATCTACACTTCTTCACATAGGCACTCGCTACACTCGACATCCGACACCATCAAATTGGAGACGAAGGAGTCCAATATCTGGCTGATGCTTTACAAAAAAATACAGTGATCTTCTTTTGTTTTCATTTTATTTCTTTTATTTCTATATGCACTTCTTTGTTCAGACACTTACCAAACTTGATATTGGGTCAAATAAAATTGGAGAGAAAGGATATCAAAATTTAGCTAATGCTTTACGATATAATAGAGTGAGCTTCTTTTTCTCTTTGTTTAATCTCATTTTCATCTTTACTTCGCCATTCAGACACTCAATACACTTCAACTTGGCTCGAATAAAACTGGAGACAAAGGAGTCCAATATCTGGCTAATGGTTTACAAGATAATTCGGTTCGTTTGTTTTTCTATTTATCTCTTTCATTTCTATTTGTATTTCTTCATGCAGACTCTAGCCATTCTCCACATCGATTGTAATATAATTGGAGACGAAGGGATTCAATATTTAGCTCATGCGTTGCAAAACAACATGGTGAACTTCTTATTCTCTTTATCTTTCTGATTTGCATCTTCAATTTTTTACATAGGGACTCAAAGAACTTTCCCTTTATGCCAATAGAATTGAAAAGCAAGGGGCCCAATCCTTGGCTAATGCTTTAGAGAATAACACGGTGAGCTATTTTCTGTCTTCATTTCTCTCATTTTCATCTTCACTCTTTACACAGACACTCACCACACTCGACCTTTCGAGCAATAAAATTGGAAAAGAAGGAGCCCAATATCTTGCTGACGCTTTACGAAAGAACATGGTAAATTTCTTTCTTTTTTCATCTCTCTCATTTTCATCTGCATTTCTCTACTCAGACACTCACCAACCTCAAACTCTGTAGCAATGAAATTGGAGAAAAAGGGGTCGAACATCTTGCTGATGCTTTACAGAATAACACAGTAAACTGCATTGTCTTTTCATATCCTTCATCTTAATCTTCATTTCTTCACATAGACACTAGCTATACTTAACCTCCGTTTGAATAAACTTGGAGACCAAGGAATTCAATATCTGGCTCATGCTTTACAGAATAACACGGTGAATTTGTTTCTCTATTCATTGCTCTTATTTTCATATCTACTTTTTCATGCAGGGACTCAGAGAACTCCACCTTGAAGAAAATGAAATCGGAGAGCAAGGAGCCCAACATCTGGCTGATGCTTTACGAAAGAATACAGTGAACTTCTTTCTCTATTTATCTCTCTCATCTTCCATCTTGACTTTTTCATACAGGTGCTTCGAGAACTCAACCTTTATGATAATCGAATCGGAGACAAAGGAGCCGAATATTTGGCTGATGCTTTACAAAATAATACAGTACATTTATTTCTCTACTTATGTATATCATCTTCATCGTTATTTTTCACATAGACACTCATCACACTCATCATCGAATCCAATGGTATCGGCCAAAAAGGTCTAAGACATGCAATGAAAACTTTTATGAAAAATACTGGACTGAAAGTACAGATTGCTCACGCATGATTGACAAGATGAACATTCAGTAATAATGAATACATTAGTTTAGAAATTATATTTAACATTAATTTTCAAAATATATTGTTTACTACACTCTAAAAAAAGGTTTCATTGGAAACCTAAGGAGGGTTTCCCGGTTTGTCACTAAATGAAATCCTCTATAGGCTTTCCAGAAAGGATTTCCAAGCTCTGGAAAACCTATAGAAAGCAATCAAAAGATCTACAAGATTCCCTAAACTCAGTACAGGTTTCAGCCAGTCAGCCGATAAAACAATTACATAAACACATTTTGTGAAACCCATTACTCATCTTCCTTTTGACCCACAAAAAAAAACACGGACAATCCGCTTACATGCTTGGGTAACCAAGTCCTGTTCTTCATTACATACTACAATATTTGGACTTCTATATCCAGCTACAGGATGACTAGATGGGATCAGAACTACGAACTCCTCCATTCTCGTTGATGCCATTAATTTGGAAGCTTTGAAAAAAGTACATCCAAATTGTAATCGTTTATAGATTGCCTTATCTGAGGGTGTGGGTGTGGGTGGGGTGTGTGGGTGTAGGTGCGGGTGTTGATGTGGGTGTGGATGTGAGTGTGGGTGTCGGTGCGGGTGTGGGTGGGTGTTCGTGCGAGAAAGACAATGATACCCACACCCATACACCCACACCCACCCACACCCACACATCCACGCCCACACCCACACGCACACCCACCCACACCC